TACATACATACATACATACATACATACATACATACATACATACATACATACATACATACATACATACATACATACATACATACATACATACATACATACATACATACATACATACATACATACATACATACATACATACATACATACATACATACATACATACATACATACATACATACATACATACATACATACATACATACATACATACATACATACATACATACATACATACATACATACATACATACATACATACATACATACATACATACATACATACATACACACACACAGACATACGGACAAAATTGCAAATCTATGTTTTTCGTGTAAGAAAAAGTAAAAAGTGGCATTTTGTAAGACTGTTATTATAAGAGCAGCCTATACAAATGTATTTTCTATAAGTTTAAATATAATTATGAATGCTAAATGCGGTTATGTTAAGTGTTGTTAGCCGATAGACAAATAAATATATAGCTGCCTGTAGCAGATCTGGTTGCTATGGAAACCACGGAAAAGGTGTGAAAACTAAAATCTTTTCAAACCTCTATAACTATGTTCCCAAAGAAAATTTACAAAACTGATGAAAGATTTAGATTTCTCAAGCCTAACAAGAAATACTTTGCACGTTATTATTACCATATTGCAATATAAAATAATTTAATTATAACAACATTACAGTAATTTTAAAGACAAGTGTATACCAATAACACAGTTATTTTCACTTTAGATTTGTATTTTAAAATAAATTCTTCAGATTTGTATTTTAAAATAAATTCTTCAGATTTGTATTTTAAAATAAATTCTTCAGATTTGTATTTTAAAATAAATTCTTTAGATTTGTATTTTAAAATAAATTCTTCAGATTTGTATTTTAAAATAAATTCTTCAGATTTGTATTTTAAAATAAATTCTTTAGATTTGTATTTTAAAATAAATTCTTTAGATTTGTATTTTTAAAAAAAATCTTTAGATTTGTATTTTAAAATAAATTCTTCAGATTTGTATTTTAAAATAAATTCTTCAGATTTGTATTTTAAAATAAATTTTTTAGATTTGTATTTTAAAATAAATTCTTTAGATTTGTATTTTAAAATAAATTCTTCAGATTTGTATTTTAAAATAAATTCTTCAGATTTGTATTTTAAAATAAATTCTTCAGATTTGTATTTTAAAATAAATTCTTTAGATTTGTATTTTAAAAAAAATTCTTTAGATTTGTATTTTAAAATAAATTCTTCAGATTTGTATTTTAAAATAAATTCTTCAGATTTGTATTTTAAAATAAATTCTTCAGATTTGTATTTTAAAATAAATTCTTTCAAAATATAATTAAAACTGGGCTTGAGATTTTGTAAATTAATACGGAAATTTTTCAATAGTAACTAATTACGTAATGAGAATTATTTGTTGAACGATTACTGACCAACACATTTGGTGGGGTTTTTACTGTCAACAGTGTACCCTGCCTTACAAGAACACTTAAAGCTGCCCACTGTGTTTGTACAATTCTGTTCACATGCAGAACTCTTGGCACATTCGTCGACATCTGGCAAAAAAAAAGTAATAGAGATGGTTAGGATTTAAATTGCAAGATGTTTATTTTATACAACTGCGAATAGAGAGCTATGGCGCCACACACAAATGCCACACACATTCACAAACCCTGGAATCAAACCTCATCGCCCGTAACCCCAAAAACCACTAAACATTTCTGCAGATTTGTATTTCTAGTATAGCTTGAACAAATAATAAAAAATGTTGGGCTTGAAGTTTTATAAAAATTAAGAGAAAACAATCTTACCAACACATTTGGTGGGGTTTTTACTATCAATGTTGTACCCTGCCTTACAAGAACACTTAAAGCTGCCCACTGTGTTGTTACAGTTGTGTTCACATACAGAACTCTTGGCACATTCGTCGACATCTGGCAAAAAGTGGACAAAGTTTGGATTTAAATAGAAGGACTTTTAAATTCATCAGAATTAAATTAGAGATAATGATTTTTATAGAATGTAGGTTTACTTGTTGCAATAAAACAGTAATTTTAAACGAATTATTTTTTTTAGATTTACATTTCTCAAATAACTACATTAAAGTAATGTTATTGAATACATCGTTTAATGTTTGTGTATATTTATACAGAAATATGTTTAATATGGATTTTTACAAATGAAATAAAGTAAATAAAACAAAACTGACCAACACATTTGGTGGCGTTTTTACTGTCAATGGTGTACCCCGTGTTACAAGAACACTTAAAGCTGCCCACTGTGTTTGTACAATTCTGTTCACATACAGAGCTCTTGGCACACTCGTCGAAGTCTAGCAAGAAATTGATCTAGTTAGTATTTAAATTGCAAGATGTTCATTTTATACTTAGCAACACACAAGTGCAAAAAAAAAAAAATAGAGCTGTGACGCTGTGAAGTTTTATAAATGTATAAAGAAAAGTAAATTCTAACCAACACATTTGGTGGGGTTTTTACTGTCAACAGTGTACCCTGCCTTACAGTAACACTTAAAGCTGCCTACGGTGTTGTTACAGTTGTGTTCACATACAGAACTCTTGGCACATTCGTCGATGTCTGGCAAAATATAGACAAGAGTTTGGATTTAAATAGAAGGACGTTCATTTTATATTTACAAAATATACATAGGCCATACATCTTAGTAACAAGGTGCTATTTTTAGAAGGTACTCTATGACGTCACACACATACCACAAGAGGAATGCATCTTTTGAATACAACTAAGAAACCATTTAAAATGCCATTGTAAAGTTTTTTTTAAATTAAATAATTACATGTTCATTTCGCGCTTCACCATTCTATTTTATTGCAGAAAATTTACACCGAAAATGGATTTAAACAATATATTAATTAGCACTGAAGTTGGCAACTTTTTTTATTCATCCCAAACCCTTTAGAATTGTAATGCTAGTAATAAACGTATCAGTCCTAGATCTATATAATTACAAGCAATAGAGATGGCTAAATGTTGGTAAATCAACAGAACGAGCCGACCCGTAGCATACGCCGCTATTTAGTGACGGGTGAAGACTTCCTGATCGACACAGGTCCAAATGGGACATGGCTGAAGAGCGAGGGAGGGGGCGGGAGGAGGGTTAGTGAGTCGGCGTGCGTGCGTGGTGTCCCGCATGGTTGGGCGACGTAGAGAACTATATATATAGACAGTTTTATTTTCTACTTTTCAGTAATTCATAATTTGTGAATTCGACACTACCAATGCTGCGACTGAAAATGTATTGCCTTAAAACACCATCAGTAGATCGCGAAGGACAATCAATTGGAATAACATACTATTTTTTAAATGCAAAAAAAAAAATTATAGCAGAAATAAAATAATTAGAAATTCATCAGAATTATATAAAAAATAGTGAATTTTTTTTTAGAAGACACTTATAGCAATAAAACAGTAATTTAAAAAAAATTTAGATTTTTTTTTGTAGATTTACTTTTCTCGTATAACTACATTAAAGTAATGTTATTAAATACAGCGTTTAATGCTTTTGTAAATTTATACAAAAGTATTTTTCATATGGATTTTTAAAAATGAAATAAAATAAATAAAACAAAACTGACCAACACATTTGGTGGCGTTTTTACTGTCAATAGTGTACCCTGCCTTACAAGAACACTTAAAGCTGCCCACTGTGTTTGTACAATTCTGTTCACATACAGAGCTCTTGGCACATTCATCGATGTCTGGAAAAATATAAACGTAGTTCGAATTTAAAATGTAAGATGTTTTTATTTTATTTTTAAAGACAGTTGATTGCTAATAGAGAAAAAAAAATTAAACACATTTTTATAAGTTTGAAATTGACCATTTTTCTGTTTTCACCGAGTAATGCTTATTTATCCTTATGTTTTTACAAAAATCTTTAAAATGCCAAATGCTAATTAAAATATTTTGAATTACTGTTGCTGTGTTTGATAAATAAAATGCTCTCAAATTATAACTCGATATTTCAACACAACACAACTGACTAATAACAGTATTGCAGTCAATTATAAACCAAAGTTTCAGCAGATTTGTATTTCTAGTATAACTACATGAAATAAATATTCAATATTGGGCTTGAGATAATATAAAAATTTATTTCCAATAAGAATTTATTAACAAATTAAGAGAAAACAATCTTACCAGCACATTTGGTGGGGTTTTTACTGTCAATGGTGTACCCTGCCTTACAGTAACACTTAAAGCTGCCCACTGTGTTGTTACAGTTGTGTTCACATACAGAACTCTTGGAACATTCGTCGATGTCTGACAAAATATAGAGGACATGGTTAGGATTTGTTGCGCACGATAACTATTTATGTAGTGCCCACCAAATCAAATTTTGGGTAAATAGTTAAGGCTCGTCTATTGGACCGTAACATTTTGGGAAGAAAAACTTAAGACTGACAAAATGTGCCAGAGAAAAACTTAAGACCAACAAAAACTGACAGAGAAAAACTTAAGACTGACAAAACCTGCCAGAGAAAAACTTAAGACTAACAAAACCTGTCAGAGAAAAATTTAAGACTGACAAAAACTGACAGAGAAAAACTTAAGACTGACAAAACCTGCCAGAGAAAAACTTAAGACTGACAAAAACTGCCAGGGAAAAACTTCAGACTGACAACAAAAACCTACCCAGACAAGCAGAGGAGTTGGTGTCACTGACACGGAATCCTGGCATACATGAGCACGTGAAACCTTTAGCGGTTGTTGTACAGTTGTGTTGGCAAGGGGAGGGGCGACAACTACCTGCTGATGGAAAGTAATAGATGGGTTATCTACCTGCTTCATAACATTTTATACAGAAGAGTACGGTCACTTATAATAATATGTTAAGTGGGAGGATGGGGGGGGGGGGGTAAATACTAGAAATGGTTACTGATGGAATCAGCGCAAGATTTCCCCTTGGATTAATACTCAGATTTATTATTACAAATTACAGATGGTTGTAAATATAAACAATATTCAAAGTTTATACTAAAGAAAAGTATGTGGTTTTAATTGTTAAATGCTTTTGAAAATAAAACAAAGACTTAAAACCAATATAATAAGCTTTTATAAGCACTGAAAAAATGTGCTTTCTTTAACAAAAGAATTGGCTGCCAAAATTATAGTATAGGTACATGATAATACAATTTTGTTCTTATTAAAGAAAGCAGATTATTTTTTAAATTGCATGTAAGTGTTTTATTCACGCTGACAAACGAGCGACATGGAGCAGTTTTACTGCAGTGTTGAACAGGGCAGATGGCTGAGTTTTAGTGCTGATATACTCACCACATCCAGCTTTATTCGGACCCGTCGCGGCAGATTTGCCGTCGTAGCAACAGCCGTACGTACTCTCTTCACACGTTTTCGCTACAGCTACATTAGACAAGAGTAAAGTGATGTAAGTAATTGAATTTTAACTGAATATTCTGGTCTCTGCTAAATATGGGAATTGACAAGTAAAACAGAAATCCCGAGACGGGGAAAATTGGAACGTTTTGTGCAGACTTTCATAGATTTGGTAATATTGGGATTTGCCAATATTAGAACCTAAGGAACAATAACGCAGTGGTTCATAGATTTGCCAATATTGGAATATAAGGAAAAAATAGTGCAGAGGTTAATAGATTTGCCAATATTAGGACCTAAGGAACATTGTGTGCAGAGGTTCAGAGAATTTGCAATATCGTGGCCTACAGAACATTTAGTAGAGAGGTTCATAGCTTTGGCAATATTGGGACCTACGGAAAATTTGGTGCAGAATTTTCCCAAATTTCGCTATAGCGTGACGTATAGAACATTTAGTAGGCCTACACCACCTGGTGTTTTCTTAAGTCAACGAAATTGTTTGAATACCTATTGTTTTCTTAAGTTATCTGGTTTCTTTGAACCCCAAATGTTTTACTCACCAGAACCACAGCCTGTTTTCTTAGGGTCAGCGGCAAACGTGCGTCCATCAGAGCAGCAGCCGTGTGTGCTTGACTGGCAGTTTTCTAGTTCTGGAAACATGGGGGGGGGGGGGGGGTTGGTAAGTAAAGGTTAGGCTAAATGGTGACAGTTTTTTTAAAACATGGGAGGGGGGGGGGAGTAAAGTTTAGGCTAAATGGGGACATTTTTCTGGACACATCGGAGTGGCTAAAGGTTAGGCTAAATGGGGACATTTTTCTGGACACATGGGAGTGGCTAAAGTTTAGACTAAATGGGGACATTTTTCTGGACACATCGAAGTGGCTAAAGGTTAGGCTAAATGGGGACATTTTTCTGGACACATCGGGGGGGGGGGGGGGGTGAGTAAACGTTAGGCTAAAGGTTAGGCTAAATGGTGACAGTTTTCTGGACACATGGGGAGTGAGTAATGGCAAGGCTGTATGGTGATACTAATGGACACATCTTTAATGAATGATGAGATTAATGGCTACACAGCTATTGAATAAATATTTTTATTCTCCATTTCGCGAAGTATACCTATATATTTTCAATTCCCCGAAGCACCCCGACATTCAATTCTCGTCATACCCCGACATATTCCCAATCCCCGACATACCCCTACATATTCCCAATCCCCGACATACCCCTATATATTCCCAATCCACGACGTACCCCCACATATTCCCAATCCCCGACATATTCCCAATCCCCGACATATTCCCCATCCCCGACGTACCCCGACATATTCCCAATCCCCGACATACCCCTACATATTCCCAATCCACGACGTACCCCCACATATTCCCAATCCCCGACATATTCCCCATCCCCGACGTACCCCGACATATTCCCAATCCCCGACGTACCCCGACATATTCCCAATCCCTGACGTACCCCGACATATACCCAATCCCCGACGTACCCCTACATATTCCCAATCCCTGACGTACCCCGACATATTCCCAATCCCCGACGAACCCCTACATATTCCCAATCCCCGACGAACCCCTACATATTCCCAATCCCTGACGTACCCCGACATATTCCCCATCCCCGACGTACCCCGACAGATCCTCTCCTCCACCTGCTCCTCCACAGACTTGAGAGCGCTGTAGGAGAGCGCGAGGAAGACATCTTGAGGACCACTGGCCACGGCCTGGAGCTCCACACGTTGGGGCATGCCCACCCCCACGGAGATGATCTGCACGCCCATGTCTTTGATTCGCTGGGCCGACTGGATAGCTGTAGGGTCATAGGTCAACGTGGGGTTGTAGCGTAGTAGGGAAGAGTTTCATGTGGTACATTATAGAAAACATTATATACTGACGTTTTATTATAATTTACAAAGAAAACAGGACCAAACATTGTATATTATCATGTAATGAATTGATTTACTAGAAAATTTTTGAGGCTAAGCTATTAGTATGCTCAGCGATAAATGGAGAACTTAAAGTTGCGGAATTTTGTTGAAAATAATATTTTGGATGTTATTAATGTATAAACTAATTTTATTTAAAGAAGGAGAATAAAAAAAAAGGCATATTCGAATGTAGAAACACATGTTTAATCATGCAACCGCAAAAGTGTTTATGGTTGTGCCGACAACGCATTAAACAATGACGTCACATGCCATATGTTTAAACTACGGAGAGTACACAAAACAAATGGCGTTAATCTTCCAATTTTTAAATACGAAGAAATGAATTATTTCATTCAAATTTGGTTTAGATAACTTATCAAGTCGTATGCTACGCTATGAAGTATATATTTTTTCCCGGCCAAAAATAATACAAATTACTTTAAAAAACTACAAAAATACTAATGAACAGCCGGGTTTTTAACGGAATCATTTAAGTCTCTTAATCAGTGTGTACATTTAATATGGTGTTTTGTTGACTAATATGAATATAATTTGGTTTTTCTAATAGGTATTATTGAATGTGTCGGATGTTTCAGCTATTGAATTATTTCATTGCTTTGTCACTAATATCAATCAATGTGTAGTAAAACACATTGCGTTTTGACCAATAACTATTTTATAAAATATTTTGCTCAAACACGTATAACATTAAAATATATAGGCCGATAATTCACGTGTAACGGGTACCGACGGCTAGTAATGTTCTAAAACTACCAAGGCATCCGTGGCTACATCTCTATTCTATATCACTAATCCATATCACTAATCCATATCACTAATCCATATCACTAATCCATATCACTAATCCATATCACTAATCCATGTCACTAATCCATATCACTAATGCATATTACTAATGTACATCACTCATCCATATCACTAATGCACATCACTAATCCATATCACTAATCCATATCACTAATCCATTTCACTAAACCATATCACTAATCCATATCACTAATCCATATCACTAATCTATATCACTAAAGCATATCACTAAACCATATCACTAATCCATATCACTAAAGCATATCACTAATCCATATCACTAATCCATATCACTAATTCATATCACAAATCCATGGCACTAATCCATATCACTAATCCATATCACTAATCTATATCACTAATCCATTATTACACAATAATTATAGTTTAATACACTTGCTATGAACAATTAAAAAAAAAATGGAGTTTGTCAGTAGGTCACAACTTCTCGTTCTCGTACTCGCCAGCTAATAGATTTCGAGACCGTAGACTTACAAGCCCTATTGTTATTTGTACAAACAGCATTGTATGAGGTAATTATTTCACAGTGATTTAGTACATGATTTAACTGATGTTAAACACGGTTGACAGGGAGAATGTTAAACTTGATATGGACTGAAACAACAGATTCGTGAAGAAAGAACACTAATGGGCATCCATAGTTTGAGGCATCGAACCGTTGAAGAGATGAAAATTAGGTTGTTTTTGTTCTTTTATTCATTTTTACTTTAAGTAAAACTCCATTTCGTGCCTGACTGTCACAGGGCAAGTGAAGTAGAGTCCATCTGTTTCTGTGACCTCGGCATATGAAGGGATAGTGTGGTCAACACTATGCCCAGTCGCAATCTACTTTCCCCAACGTGAATCAGGTGCCCATAAGAGCTGGGTGATTCGGGAACATTTTAGGACTTAAACTCAGATTTGAACTAAAATCTTTCAGGTTAGAAGTCGTATGTGCAACCATTCTACCACGCTATCTTAATATTTTTTTTAGTAATGTTGATATTATAGTATTAAAAAGCCAATATATGTTGTCATTAATGAGAAGTTGAGCAAGATTGATACACACTTACTCGCAACTGTGTTGTTTAACGGTCCGTAGGTGATCAAGAGTAGGATGTTTGGAGCGTGAGGTCTGGCCCCGGCGTTGATGGTGTACATGCCTGTGTTGTAGACCCAATTGAGTGCCTGGTCCACGCACGTTTTACCCTGCAGGTATGGGGCATCCTGCAAACTCTAAGGAGACAAAATTCAAACCTTGGCACCAGTTGACTCGTTATTGTTGATTTACTAAGGTCATAAAGGGCACAATGTATATTCATGTAACCAATTCTAAAACCCATGCGAGTTTTGTAGTATACTAGACGACCCGTGTTATCCATTGGATTGAGGTTTGTAGGCAGAAAACAAAACTCCTCCCCCCTTTCGCCACTTCCCCACAACGCAGTTTCATTTGAATTTTTATGGACAGTCAAATGTGAATACCCTAAGATATAGGCCTATATATGAACTATTCCGAATTCTTATACATTTTTTTCCAAATTTTATTGAAATTAAAAAAAAATATATATCGGATTACATTCTAACTCCTACAACTTCCCCTACAAAACTATCATATTGTTTTAAATTTTAGGCCATATATACAAACCACTGTGAGGTATAGAATAACAAAATAATTCCTTTGTTTGCTATATATTTGAGCTGCATAGATTGGAATTACCCGCATATTGTAGACAGTACACTGAATATACACATTCGAACTAAATGAGAAAATGAATTGCTAGTGTAATGTAGACACTGAACTGAATTACCGTAATTACCCATGTTATGTAGGCATATTCTAACTAAATGACCGCAAATGTTACCTGTAATGTAGACAGTGAACGAAATGCCCGTAAATTGCCCGTGTTATGTAGACAGTGAACGAAATGGCCGTAAATTACCCGTGTTATGTAGACAGTGAACGAAATGCCCGTAAATTACCATTATGTAGACAGTCAACGAAATGTCCGTAAATTACCCGTGTTATGTAGACAGTGAACGAAATGGCCGTAAATTACCCGTGTTATGTAGACAGTGAACGAAATGGCCGTAAATTACCCGTGTTATGTAGACAGTGAACGAAATGGCCGTAAATTACCCGTGTTATGTAGACAGTGAACGAAATGGCCGTAAATTACCCGTATTATGTAGACAGTGAACGAAATGGCAGTAAATTACCCGTGTTATGTAGACAGTGAACGAAATGGCCGTAAATTACCCGTGTTATGTAGACAGTGAACGAAATGCCCGTAAATTACCATTATGTAGACAGTGAACGAAAAGCCCGTAAATTACCCGTGTTATGTAGACAGTGAACGAAAAGCCCGTAAATTACCCGTGTTATGTAGACAGTGAACGAAAAGCCCGTAAATTACCCGTGTTATGTAGACAGTGAACGAAAAGCCCGTAAATTACCCGTGTTATGTAGACAGTGAACGAAAAGCCCGTAAATTACCCGTGTTATGTAGACCGTGAACGAAATGGCCGTAAATTACCCGTGGCATGCAGACAGTGAACGAAATGTCCGTAAATTACCCGTGTTATGTAGACAGTGAACGAAATGTCCGTAAATTACCCGTGTTATGTAGACAGTGAACGAAATGGCCGTAAATTACCCGTGTCATGTAGACAGTGAACGAAATGTCCGTAAATTACCCGTGTTATGTAGACAGTGAACGAAATGTCCGTAAATTACCCGTGTTATGTAGACAGTGAACGAAATGGCCGTAAATTACCCGTGTTATGTAGACAGTGAACGAAATGGCCGTAAATTACCCGTGGCATGCAGACAGTGAACGAAATGGCCGTAAATTACCCGTGGCATGCAGACAGTGAACGAAATGTCCGTAAATTACCCGTGTTATGTAGACAGTCTCCTGTAGATCACGGAAGTCAAACAACTTCTGAGGGTAGTCGCTGAAGACTACGGCGCCCAGCTGGACAGCCGATGGACCAATGGGGAACCTCGAGGACAGGCTGGACACGAACTGGATCTGACTCTGGAAGTTGCTGTAGCCGATGCGGGCTGAGGAGTCGATGACGTACAAGATGTCAGCGACACCGTGTTGACAAATTGCTGGAGTTGATTAGAAGATAATTTAAAATTTAGATATTGCTCTGTCAATGTTTACTAACTCCTCAAATAAGGGGAATGTATTTAACGTGTGGTAACAAAACATGTATTCATTAGAACATGTACGAATCTATACCGTACAAATATATGTACATAGTTTATTCAGTGTACTTCTACTTGCCGTTTACTTGTGGAGTCAGAAGTAGCACAAAGACCAGAAAAACTAAGTACACTGGATGCGTCATGGTCATACAACTGGTGCTAAAATAGGTGGAAACAAAACATTTCACGAAAAAATTATTTTAGAAAATTACTAGCCGTCCCGGCCAGGCCCTGCACTGGCATCTCTGAAAAACGTATCTGTAAAGGACCATAACTTGTGTGTTTGGTAATCAGCATTTTCCCGGCATTGCCCACCCTAACCACAACCAACCAAAACACACAAAAAACGCAAACATAACACAAACACAAATACAAACACAAACGAAAGCAAAAAAGCAAACACAAACACAAACACAACCACAAACACAAAGAAAACACAAACGCAAAGAAAAAAGCAAACGAAACACAAACGCAAAGAAAAAAAACGAAAACAAACCCAAACCCAAACCCAAATCCAAACACAAACACAACCACAAACGCAAACCTAAACTCAAACACAAAGAAAACACAAACGCAAAGATAAACTCAAAGTGTCCACAGTCTAGCCCGGAGCGCCAAATCGCACCATGACGACGTGCGGCGTAACCGCCTTATTCAACTTAGTAAACGACTATGTTACCGAACTTATTCATAGTCTTTTGAACTCACTTACGCGAACGTAGGTACCATAGCGAACACGGGAAGGCCCGGGGCGCCAAATAGCACTCTGTCGGGGTGCCGGAGGACGCCCGGATTTGATTCACTTAAAGACTATAGTAACTTTTCTTATCCATAGTCTATCGCACTGTTTAAAACGAAATTATGCATCATAGCGCTCACATGATAGCCCAGGGCGCCGGCGGGCGCGTCTGTTTCAATTTAGTGAACAAAATTATAATACTCCAACCTTATCCGTAAATGGAAAGAAATAAACATATAAGATTTGTTGGACCTGGCTTATTAAATGTTATTGATTTAAAAAAAAAATTAGTAAACAGTATGTTCAGTGTATAGAATAAATAAAAGGCAGTATTAAAAATACCAACGACATTGCACTTAATCAATCCCCGCTAATTATGTAATTATTTTTTTTCCTAACACCAAAACAAAGTAATAAAAAGTAAATTCTTTCTTCCCCCCGATTTAATGGGGTTTTTTTTAAAGGGAAGTAACTGTGTTTTCCAAATCAAGGGACGTTATGAGAACTAAAGGAAAAAATGTAAATACATTTCAGACACAGTTTTAGAAGTTTTATAAACGTTGATACACTTTTAAAAAAATAATTATGTAACGTTCATAATTGAAAATTATTATTCTAAGTATATAAAATGAAAATTGTTTTTAAAGACTTTCAATAGTAATTTTTTAACTCATAAATTTAGACCATGAGTGCTTTAATAATCTAATACTTAAATCCATCAAAGTATCGGGTTTTTTTTTTTCTTTTCGTTTTTTCTTATATTCCTTTGTAATCCACGACAAACATTTTACAAACATACATACAGAATTGAACTTTATATATTAGATTAGGTAAAATTGTGTTACAAAACGAATAGTGACACAACATGTTTATTGCCAAAACGTATGTACAAGAAAAAAGTTTTTTTCTACTTGGATCGCCCTTCAGATCAGCTGATGTTAAGAGTAAATATTACTGTACATATTTGAAATACACATGTTGTGATTTAACTCTCTAAACATACAATTAAAATTATGATGCACATTCCACGTTATTACACATTTTGCATGGGTCTAGTTATGTGCATCATACGTGTGGTAGAGCTGATGTATAGAAACATGAATGTTTCAGTTCAAATCCCGGTTTTTGTTGGTCTCGATCATTAGCTAACGACTTCCATGAGAACACTCAATTCCAAACGATTGCTTGGGGTCGTTAAGATGGCCTTAAGGTCACACGATGATCTTGTCGATTCTTCAAGGTCGCCCCAAGATTTTCAACGATTCTCGAAAGACTAATTTGACCTCAATTACAATTACAAACTCTAGTAGTCATGATTACCTAAGATCACTCAATGATTGTCACGATTACCTAAGATCACTCAATGATTGTCACGATTACCTAAGATAACTCAATGATTGTCACGATTACCTAAGATCACTCAATGATTGTCACGATTACCTAAGATCACTCAATGATTGTCACGATTACCTAAGATCACTCATTGATTGTCACGAGTCAATCACTCAATGATTGTCTTGAGTCGAAAATACATATATTGTTATATCATTCAGCTGTGTCGAGTACTGGACCCTCTACCCACGTTTCACTTTTGGTATTACTAAGTAGACGTTTTCACATTTTTCGGGTAAGAAAGTCCTTCTCGCAGAACTAACGTATTGGTTTACAGATATGCAATATCGATTTAAAATAAAACTCTATTATACATAACAGTTATAATAACATACAACAAAAAAAAAATTAGTACTTTGTTTACCTCAATGATTTCTGTTTGTGTATATCTTCACCTCAGCCAAATATTTATCGCTAAAGTTAAAATTGCAAAAGGTTTTGAAGACACAAAATGAGCTGGCAATAAATCATTTAATATATAATAAAATAATCACGTGTGACTTATTTCGTACAGGGGCGCCGCCACGATCCTGGGTATTTTAAAGGAATGTATTCGTGGAGGCTCGCAATTTTTATTCATTGTTGGATAATTGTAACCTTCTTCGTGACCCTTACACTTAATTAAATTATTATCTTGTCAAGTGATGCTTGTATTGGTACAAATATAAAAATCAAGTAAAACATTCCGTTGTTTATTCTCTTCTATCCTAATTTTTGTGTTTGCCGCTGTAACTTCCCAGAATATTTGCTTGTTAAAGGGTGCTGGACGATACAGAGCTATAACATCTACAACTTTATGCCTGTAACTGTGGGAAATACTTTACAAAACTATATAAACATTACATAAACATCGACTTTATAAACGTATTGTGAAACAGAAATTACCTATGTTGGACCGTTTGAGACGACGCAATAAAAATATCCCCATTTTTTTATGTTGCCCCAAGCAGCGCGGTGGGCTGATAGTGATAGAGGAGGGTGAAAATATTCGGTACCCGTAGGTGTTTTCTTGGTACCCGTAGGTGTTTTCTTGGTACCCGTAGGTGTTTTCTTGGTACCCGTAGGTGTTTTCTTGGTACCCGTAGGTGTTTTCTTGGTACCCGTAGGTGTTTTCTTGGTACCCGTAGGTGTTTTCTTGGTACCCGTAGGTGTTTTCTTGGTACCCGTAGGTGTTTTCTTGGTACCCGTAGGTGTTTTCTTGGTACCCGTAGGTGTTTTCTTGGTACCCGTAGGTGTTTTCTTGGTACCCGTAGGTGTTTTCTTGGTACCCGTAGGTGTTTTCTTGGTACCCGTAGGTGTTTTCTTGGTACCCGTAGGTGTTTTCTTGGTACCCGTAGGTGTTTTCTTGGTACCCGTAGGTGTTTTCTTGGTACCCGTAGGTGTTTTCTTGGTACCCGTAGGTGTTTTCTTGGTACCCGTAGGTGTTTTCTTGGTACCCGTAGGTGTTTTCTTGGTACCCGTAGGTGTTTTCTTGGTACCCGTAGGTGTTTTCTTGGTACCCGTAGGTGTTTTCTTGGTACCCGTAGGTGTTTTCTTGGTACCCGTAGGTGTTTTCTTGGTACCCGTAGGTGTTTTCTTGGTACCCGTAGGTGTTTTCTTGGTACCCGTAGGTGTTTTCTTGGTACCCGTAGGTGATTTGTTGGTGCCATGTAGACCATTTAGTTGACCGGTCATACACGTTTTAAATTTTATTTTCTCAGGTTGTTCCCGCGACCACGCCCCTGCAACATAAAACTCTGTAATTTGACACCACATGCGTTTACTGTGGCTCAGCCACACACAAACCTCCATCGCTGGTGCTTAACCCGCAACAAACGACAGGGATTAACCACGGAACATGTGGTTGACTAGAGTTTCAATTACATCTGTGTTATTGCGACATTATCTGTTGCTCTGTGAATCAACATCACATCCGAATAAACGAATAATTGACAGCTGAACAACCTGTGTTTAAACACACACACAAACACACACACACACACACACACATATATATATATATATATATATATATATATATATATATATATATATATATATATATATATATATATATATACATATATATATATATATATATACATATATATATATATATATATATATATATATATATATATATATATATATATATATATATATATATATATATATATATATATATATATATATATATGAATGGATATGTTGAAAGCGTTGTCCTAAGGCTGACCAAATGTTGAAACTGGACAGTCAACTAAAATGCTTCCAGTTGTAATCTCCATAAACGACGCCATCTTAGATGATTAAACCCACCCCCTATGGCCACAGCAAACCAGACTCCTAACCCACCTTAAACCCTTACACAGACAGCCCTAACCCTCATCTCTAGCACACATCAAGTGATGCCGCCCAACCTGTTGCAGGAATTTTATTCGGACGTTCACGTTTGTGTGAAGATTTTGTTCATTACTTTAGCCCCCAGGAGCATTCTAATAGTCTTTAACACACACAAAAATTGACTATGGGTTGATCGGGTTATGTAAAGGTTAAAGGTCAGCCTTCAGATTCTGGGGTTAAAGGTCAGGCACTGAGCTAACGAAGGTGTGTTGGGAACGTGTGTTTTAACAGCACACTTGACACGAAACTTGATCAGAGCGTGGAGTGGTGTCCCTTTGTTTTTATTTACCTAGAGAAGCGACGAAGCCCGTGGCATATGCTGCTTTAACCAGATGTGGCATATGGTGCTTTAACCAGATGTCACACGACGTGACATTTGTATTGTAGTGTGTGTCATCTGTCATAATACACGCTAGTTCGATTTTACTTACGACGTATAATATACTGCAGGTCATTTTATTGTAGTCTGTGACATATGCCATACTAAAAGTAGTGCAGTGCTTATTGGTTAGATGTCAATAAACGACATATGTAGAGGACCAAAAGTTGGTGTATGACATAAGTGTTGACCAAATGTCAATATATGACATACGTGGTGAAGTGTGGGTCAAATGTCAATACATGACATGTGTAATGAAGTGTGGACCAAATGCCAATACATGACATTTGTAGCGACGTTATTCCTTTCTAATTAAATAAACCTAATGCTGTGACGTATGTACAAATCAAAACAAATAATCCGGTAATTTAAAACACACCTGCTGTGCTAGCTATGTACACATCTCCCTATTGAGTTATATGTGTATGTCAAACTATTGAGTTATATGTGTATGTCAAACTATTGCGTTATATGTGTATGTCAAACTATTGCGTTATATGTGTATGTCAAACTATTGCGTTATATGTGTATGTCAAACCATTGAGTTATATGTGTATGTCAAACTATTGAGTTATATGTGTATGTCGAAATTACTTTTGTTTTATGGCTAAATCGTGTTTATTAAAGAACAGTTAAACAAAAAAACTCTATGCTTAAAAGAATGCTTAAATTATTCAACTGTATTTTTACAGCCAACTAGAGAAGAATAAAGTTCCACTTGTTGACCTTTTATGAACACGTGACCAACATCCCATGGAGCAATTCGTTTTGTCTCAGCCAATCAGAAAGGCAGAAATATATCGCAGTGCCCTGACCGTGGCTAATGCAAGCTGGCCATTTGTGGTTATGTTGAGAAATCAGTTAAAATAAAATTTCATAATTATTTATTTGCTATGTTTATTTTTAACCTTCATTTTAATTACAGCGCTAGAGAGAAACAAAAAAAAAACGGAAAAATTCACTTGTGAGCTAAACTAATCTACACCAAATTGAATCAGCCTGCCGAGTTTGTCAACACTGGCAGCCATGTTTACCCACAATGCCGTAGTAGGAGAGTGTCGTGTAGAACCAACACCAACAACACAAACAGGACAGCGACTGGTGTAGGGCTAGAGGCACGAAGTCTGTGTGCCGAGTTACACAAACATCAGCACCTTATCCCCCACAGTCTAGTTTAGCACTAGCTGCACATACAGCTGCTGTATCTGCACTTACATCTGTGTTTGCTTGCAGTGGATGCACGTATATCTGTGTTTGCTGCAGTAGATTTTACTGAGTGCATCTAAACATGCCTAAACACAGACGGAAAACTTGGTAGTTTACATTCCACGTCTTGGGGTCAAATACCAACGCTGCAGAGATATTTTAATCATAAGAACCGCCTGTTATATGTTGAGATGGATGCTTATATTTGGTATGGTGAGATGGATGCTTATACTTGGTATGGTGAGATGGATGCTTATATTTGGTATGGTGAGATGGATGCTTATATTTGGTATGGGGAGATGGATGCTTATATTTGGTATGGTGAGATGGATGCTTATACTTGGTATGGTGAGATGGATGCTTATATTTGGTATGGTGAGATGGATGCTTATATTTGGTATGGTGAGATGGATGCTTATATTTGGTATGGTGAGATGGATGCTTATACTTGGTATGGTGAGATGGATGCTTATATTTGGTATGGTGAGATGGATGCTTATACTTGGTATGGTGAGATGGATGCTTATATTTGGTATGGTGAGATGGATGCTTATATTTGGTATGGTGAGATGGATGCTTATATTTGGTATGGTAAGATGGATGCTTATATTTGGTATGGTGAGATGGATGCTTATATTTGGTATGGTGAGATGGATGCTTATATTTGGTATGGTGAGATGGATGCTTATATTTGGTATGGTGAGATGGATGCTTATATTTGGTATGGTGAGATGGATGCTTATATTTGGTATGGTGGAATACTGAATACTCCATTGGTCAGTCATTGGTCAGTCATTGGTCAGTCATTGGTCAGTCATTGGTCAGTCATTGGTCAGGTTCCATAACTTGTGGCACTGACAATGTTATGAGAGGACAGAGTCGTGGGCACGGTGATGAGGTTAAATATAATACCAGTTAACTTTATAATACGTGCATATATATCAAGCTCGGATGTCCAGTCTCCTTATTTGGAGCTTTACTGTTAGCCTTTGTACATCTTAGGTCAACCCCCCCCCCCCCAACCCGTTTTGTCCAGTCACCTGTCTTTCACTCAGGTGACCAATTCGTGTTTCAGGATTTAACCGTCAACCTATAACAACCGTATTGTACCCTCTACTACACAATCAGGGTTATATATCTATTCCACGTTTGGCTAACAGTAGGTCTCTAGAACAATGGCATTTGATTTATTTTTTTGAGGCGTGACATTGTGTGATGATGCCACATAAATCTGGTAGCCACGTTTTCAGGCTGGTTCTCCGACTTGTGGCAAAAAGTGTCACTATCATGCAAGGTACCAAATATCTGCTGAGTGAATATTTACTGTCTAGGAAGATGATAGCCTGTGATTAAGTACCCAAACTATGAATGGCGGTCGTTGCAAAAATTTAGCAAACAAAGATTACAAATAACGAAAATACCAAGGAAGAAAACGTTGAATGACCAAAAAACTGTAATGACCAACGAAAAAAACTGTAATGACCAACGAAAAAAACTGTAATGTCCAGAAAAAAGCTGATTGACCTTCGATTTATAAAAGATATTTTGCTATATTAATTTGAAGGTTTTTTTGTTTTGTTTTGTTAAACATCTTCTAGTTAGAAAAAATCTTAAGAAAGTTGTGGGACCGGCTTAGGCAAACAGTCACACAAACGTTTTAATTGTTGATAATTGATGGCTGGGGAAAACCGATGCTCGGGGGAGGGGGGCAGTGCAGAGGGGGTAGAGGAGGGGGGGGGGGGCTGTTTCGTTGACCATTGGTGTGGGAGGGGGTAGATGGGGCTGTTCCGTTTACCATCGATGGGGGGTGGTAGAGGGGGCTTTTCAGTTGACCATCGGTAACTCACTTGACCAATGGCAATATTTGCCATGACAGACCACGCGTTGGCATCAACTGATGTCAACACAGATTGAAAATAGCGCCCTCTATCAGCAGCAGACGACAGATTGTCTTTGGATGTCCGGCATTGAGTGCGGGACGTCCGGTGTGTGGGGTCCATCGCATCACTCGCTCGGATACTTCCTCAAGGAGAGCCCGGCTCTAGGGGCAAATATGTAGATTAGGTTGTCCTGGGATATTTTTAGACATTGGGAATTTCCGCTACTTGCCAGAGTTCGAATGTTAGAGTATTTGGAAGGTTTTCATCCACCTTGAAGATACTACTGTGTGGACAAAATGCTCATTGTTTTCATTGCACGTAAGTGTTGTTTTTTTTTTTGCTGTTAAAAATCACAAAACACATTCTCAATTTTTTTTTAAATTCTTTGATTTTTAAGTTTTAATTAACTTAATTTCCCGTACTTTGTGCTGTATTGTCTTTTCGCAATGAATCGCAACTCACGAGCGAAATTTTTACCACTTCTGCATGACTGATTTCATTCAAATTTGAAACGAATGTCAAGACTCGATGACAATGAAATGCGACATGCAATTTGGTTCACTTTTTAATCAAATTAGTTTAAGATTGATTAACTATCCTATGTACATTACAAATCTTCCGCATTGTTTGAGTTGATTTGGTTTTTCTTTCTATGCGATTCTGTTCTGATAAAAAAAAAATTAAATAAAAAAAAAGTTATATATACATTTATAATTACAAGCTTGTATAAACTGCTCGTTAAAAGAATAAAACAATTTTTTAAATTATTTTTTAATTATTTTAGTTCATTTTTTAAAGTTTGTTATTATAAGAGTTTATTATTATTTTTCGTAGTCATGGGTTCCTGAGATAAATTTCATTTGATTATATTCATTTATTAAACAAAATAATTAGTTTACAGGCATATCGGTTAAGGTATAAATGATGACAGAAATACATCTATAATATACGCCTTGTTGTAACATATAAGCAGGCAGAGTCAATTCTCGTGACTCAACTACGGGCCCTGCTCTAAACGTTTCTAGTTGTTCTGTATTTGTATTGGTAACTTGGGTATGCGGACCTTTGACCAAAGTTTGAAAGGTGCTTTGACAATTTGATCAAAGTGGCTTTGAGCAAAGGTCTTTGGCTACAGGGGCTTTGACTACAGGGGCTTTGACTACAGGGGCTTTGACTACAGGGGCTTTGACTACAGGGGCTTTGACTACAGGGGCTTTGACTACAGGGGCTTTGACCATAGTTGTTTTGTTCACAAATGCTTTGTCCACACAGACTAAAAAATCAAGAAGGAATAAAATGTAGGGTGATTATATTTTAAGGAGCTGCATGATTTAAAATGATTATTCCTGATGCATAAATACAACTTACCTAGACCAATCAAGTAAAAAGTTGCAGCAGTCCATCAAATTAAAATTTGGTGCAAATATAAGAATCAATCTTTATCTATATATATAAAAAGCAATGTATGTATGTGTGTCTGTCCTTTATGCATTACTACACCTCTCATCACATCGCCGTGAAACTTTGGGAAGTTGTTGAGAATATTCCTGGGGAGGTTTCTGCGAAAAAAAATATTTCAAATTCGCAGGGGTGGCGCCCCGGCAGGGCGCGATTTGTTTTTCTCAATATACGGTATATAAAAATAATAAAAGTGAATTGCAGTGACACCGTTTATCCGATAGGCATGAAACTTTGGGGAGTTCATTATAAAACTCCAGGGAAAGGTTCTGTAAAAATCATTTTTAATTTCGCAAGGGCGGCGCCACGGGAGGCTGCGATTTTTCTCTATATACGGTTTATAAAATTTCGGTTTCACACCGTTCATCCGTGTACCATGAAACTTTGGGGAGATGATTAGATCACTCAATAGTAGGGTTCTGCAAAAAAATATTGTTTAATGTTGCAAGGGCGGGGTCCCCGGGGTGGGGGGGGGGAGCGATTTGTTTTCTCTATACACGGTATATAAAAAATAAAACTCGGATGCGGTTCATCCGAGTGCCATGAAACTTTAGGGAGTAGATGAGAATACTCCCGAGAATATTTCTGCGAAAAAGAAAACTAAAGTTTCTTATGGGCGGCGCCATATAGGGTACAACTTTCGTCAATACACGGTTTGGCGCCCAGAGTTTTAGAGCGACTATGTTGGCACTTGGCATCCGTTAATCGAGCGTCCTGTATTGCGAGTAAGGAGTACTACTATATTCAGCGGTAAAACTACAACAGGCTTCTAAAAATAACTTTGTAACGCGAGGAAATCCTTCTGTACAGTTTCATCACCTTGCGAAAGATGAAAAAATAACTTTTTGAATATGAGGAGACTACTGTAGAGTTTCGTCACTTTGCGAATGATGCAATAAGCATCTATTATTAGACAATCCAGTCAGAAATTGAGATCGAGCATCTAATAATAGACCATTAGTAACGCTAGCATATTGCATGAGTCACACTGATATTTAAAACACGTCAAATAATTTTTTTACGTGTTAAAGAAAAAATCCTGATCATTTGTGTCACTTTAGCGAATGACGAAATCTGCATCTTTATTAATAGGATGCTATTTGGCCGATGGCGCCTGGTAGTTTTAAGGAGCCAGGGGTAGTACGCCGCGCCTATGCGGTAGTGTAATCGGGGGGGGGGGCATGAGAGCGCCCCTCTACGCTCTTACATAGAGGCGCTCACCGAAGTGTGTTCTACCATATTAATTAATGTACATTCAAGATTTTAGAAAAGTAGGTCACGCGTCTAAGAACATATAATTATAATTGATAAAGCGTTGGTGAAATCCTAATATATTTCGTCAAACTTTCTTCTATCCCCGCGGCAACGCGCGGGGGTCGGGTACGCTAGTACTTTATATTTTTTTACCATTTTTAGACAATTGTTAGCCTTTGAGAAAACAGATGTACTGTCATCTCTGCGTTCTATTTCATATCTTTTTTTTTAGTTAAACATATAAGTACTAGCTAGATGTTATCATTTAGTTGTACCACTAGCTTAATGATATCATTTAGTTGTACCAGTAGCTTTATGATACCATTTAGTTGTACCAGTAGCTTAATGATGCCATTTAGTTGTACCAGTAGCTTAATGATGCCATTTAGTTGTACCAGTAGCTTAATGATACCATTTAGTTGTACCAGTAGCTTAATGATATCATTTAGTTGTACCAGTAGCTTAATGATACCATTTAGTTGTACCAGTAGCTTAATGATACCATTTAGTTGTACCAGTGAATGTAACTCATACGATTTTGCAAAAATGTGCATAAAGATTTCAGCTTGAAACTCTTCAATATCTGTAAAATAACGGATTCACGTGTACAATTAATTAGTTATCGATTTGATGTAGATAATCGTATGCGGGATGGTCGCTTATAATTAGTGTGTCCTGAATGGGGGTTAACTGGTGCACATACTGGGCTTGGTAGTTCTAAGGCTTAGTTTCGTATTGGGAATTTATAGCTCCGTGTAGAGCGTATGGCAGGTTTCAGATTACAACTTTAGAGTTGTTGTTTGTTTGTTTGTTTTTGCGCTGTGTAGATTGATCGATGGGCTATGAGTACACGTAGTAGTTAAAGAACATTATGTTAGTAGTTACAGAACATTATGTTAGTAGTTACAGAACATTATGTCAGTAGTTACAGAACATTATGTCAGTAGATACAGAACATTATGTCAGTAGTTACAGAAAATTATGTCAGTAGATACATAACATTATGTCAGTAGTTACAGAACATTATGTCAGTAGATACAGAACATTATGTCAGTAGTTACAGAACATTATGTCAGTAGTTACATAACATTATGTCAGTAGTTACAGAAAATTATGTCAGTAGATACAGAACATTATGTCAGTAGTTACAGAACATTATGTCAGTAGATACAGAACATACACGGGGTGTATAAAGAGAGTAAAGAACCCTCTATAGACCTAGCGATCCTTTGGGCAGATAAAGTAGAGTTGATATGTTTCTTGACGGGAAGGTGTGGTCAGCACTTTGCCCAGCCGCCTTGTTAGGTACCCATCAGAGTTGAGGAAGTTCTACTGACTTGGAACCGGATTCGAACTCAGACTTTCGGGTTAGCAGCCTAGCGCTCTACCGCTTACGCCACATCGACTCACTCATGAATGGGAAGGTGTGTACATTATGTCGGCAATCACAGAACACACCTGAATAGGATGATGTGTACATTATGTCGGCAATTACAGAACACACCTGAATAGGATGATGTGTACATTAATTCAGTAGTAACTTAAAGAATTGATTAGCAGTATCAACGTTAGCTTTATTTTCACGGCCTAAAATTCATTTACTTTTATGTTATGCTGGTAGACAAAGCACCAAAGTGTTATGTTACTTTTTAACAAAGCACCAAAGTGTTATGTTACTTTTTAACAAAGCACCAAAGTGTTATCTTACTTTTTAACAAAGCACCAAAGTGTTATGTTACTTTTTAACAAAACACCAAAGTGTTATGTTACTTTTTAACAAAACACCAAAGTGTTATGTTACTTTTTAACAAAGCACCTGCCAATAATGTCGCCATGACATACAAGTCCACACCACAACAATAACTATAACTGGTAATATTTTAAACATAACTGTTTCCGGATTTATAAATTTACAATGTTAAAAAATGTTAAAAAATATCGTCATGTTGGAGTAAAAATCGAATCGCTGTATTTATCTGTGATAAGGAAAGTATCAATTACATGAGAATAGAAAGGGGGGGGGGGGGGTGTTGTGGTAAAATTGAAATACATATTTAAAAAAATAATTACATTTAAATTAATAATTTCTGTGCAACTTTGACTAGATAGAAGTTTGTAAAATAACGTTATAGCCATGGTTGAGTTACTGTTATTCTTTAGTCGCTAAACCATGTTACGGCGCAGGAAAATACAACATTCTATGTTGTGTGAAAGTTGGTAAACCTACAAACGACGAGCAAGACTAACGCGCTCCTACAAAAAAATAACATGGGAACACGAGAACAGGTTGATGCGTGGGCTATAGTACCGTGTGACTGTACCGTGTGACTGTACCGTGTGACTGTACCGTATGTCTGTACCGTGTGTCTGTACCGTATGTCTGTACCGTGTATCTGTACCGTCATTGTTTTGTGATACTTACATGTAAAATGTTTTGTATTGTGATTTGTACTCGTAAAATGTGTAATGATTGATATTTGCACATCAATTTCGTAGCATTCATAATTTCTATTCTACCCATTGATGATGTTATATCATCTCCTAAATGGTGTTTTATTGTCTCCTATAATTGTTATATCATCTCCTAAATGGTGTTTTATTGTCTCCTATAATTGTTATATCATCTCCTAAATGGTGTTTTATTGTCTCCTATAATTGTTATATCATCTCCTAAATGGTGTTTTATTGTCTCCTATAATTGTTATATCATCTCCTAAATGGTGTTTTATTGTCTCCTATAATTGTTATATCATCTCCTAAATGGTGTTTTATTGTCTCCTATAATTGTTATATCATCTCCTAAATGGTGTTTTATTGTCTCCTATAATTGTTATATCATCTCCTAAATGGTGTTTCATTGTCTCCTATAAGTGTTATATCATCTCCTACATGATGTTATATTATAACTTTCGATGTATGGGTAACTGGAAAAATGCTCAACAGAAAACTCCACAAATAAAGTACGCAATGACTTTTTTTGTTTTCTCAGATCGAGCATTTACAGACTTTTAAAGAGTGACTACATGTAAATCGGAACATAACAAAACAGATTTCATTGAAATGTGACACAATTAAATTGTATTAGTAAAATTTAGTTAATATTTGCTAATGCTTCTGTTTGCGCAGTTTTCCGTTGCGTATTTCTGCGACTGCGCATTTTTCTGTGAACCAAAACTAAAACTGATTTACTTGACCATATGTGATGCCGTCCTAAAACTTACTGGCACAAGTGGGTACGTCTAACCGTTGAGATGATAGACGTAGATTCAGCGGTGTTTCACTTTCATGCGGACAGTAGGCCCTTAAGTAGAGTTATCTCTGGCTACAACATTTGGTTTCTTTGGATTTTAACGAAAGGAAAATATTTTTGGCGTGGCCTTGTGGAAGAGCCTCTGGTTGTTAACTTGAAAAGTCCAGAGTTCGGATCCTTCAGGCAGCTCCTGTGACTCGACTGATGCCTGGTTGTGTTGGCAGTGTCTCCCTCTGCCACACATCAGCTGTGTGGGTAGATGGGGGCGGGGCTGATATATGGACAACATCCGGCTCTTCTCTACTTGCTGTCCTGTTCTTGTGTCTTGAATTCCAAGGCGAAATTGTATCGTCTTTCGAGACTTGAATGCCACATTAGGATTGTTAGGGAAAAGTGAAAAGTGGTGAAGTGGGGTTCAACAAAGATACAAATCATTTTTCCAAGATTAAAGTTAAATATATTGTCAACACAACACTTACATATATGTCTTGAAACTATAACCGGGATCCTCTGACTCACCCCCTCCCCACACTTACATAATTCGCTCTATTATTAATGAATAAATCATTCCAACTTTATTTTCAGATTTTATGGCGGTTCTCGCCCAATCAGCAGGTAAGACACAATGACCTTCTTGCATAAATTAACAATTTTATTCAAGTTTATATATAAAGGTAGCTATGATCTATACCGTTTATTTATAATAAGTAATTTACATGGATAAATGCTGTATAAGACAACACAGCAAAGATAAAATAGTGACGATTACATTGGGCCATTATTTTATCTTAAGATAATACCAGCCGTTGTATGATATCAAACAATATAAAACAAATACAGTTGTATATTTTTTATAGTTAAATAAATAATCGTCTTCGACGCTATGTGCACGGTCTAGTTTTCAACATTTTATTGACTAGTTTAACTTTTTTCTTTCAGTCTAATTTGCCCATTTCTGTTCAACATCTTTGTGTCTAGAATCGTTTAAATGCCGTTTTTTCTTAACGAATTTTTTTCCGGAAAGGTGTAACTTCCCCTAATTGCTAAACGTTTTCCCCAGAAAGGTATAACTTACTGTTTAACTTTTCCCCCAGCATCGTTTAACTGCCCCTATTACTAAACGTTGTCCCCAGAAAGATTTAACTTATGTTTAACTTTTCCCCCAGCATCGTTTAACTGCCCCTATTGCTAAACTTTTTCCCCAGAAAGGTTTAACTTACTGTTTACTGTTTAACTTTCCCCCAGCATCGTTTAACTGCCCCTCGCTGTTCAACTTCTACCCTGACGTCCACGACTGCACCAAGTTCTACCGCTGTATCTGGGGGAAGGGCGCGGCCTTCAACTGCCCCACGGAGACCCTGTGGTCCCAGGAACTGCTGACCTGTAACCACGCCAAGGAGGTCAAGTGTGACAAGCCGCCCGTCTCAGACGAACTCAAGCTGTTTGAGGCGCCAGACTTCTCCGTCGACATTGCATCCGCTGCCAAGAAACAAAAATACGAAACGTCGTACGGCGGAAAATACGCCGGATCTACCGCGGCTAAAGACGCGGAGGGTTATAACGAAGAGGAAGAGGACGATGAGGAAGGTGATGAAAGCAGCAGTGAGGATAGAGAGGAGGAAGGTAATGAGGAAGAGGCGGAGGACAAAGCTAATGACGATAAAGAGAACGAAGAGGAAGATAACAGTTGGAAAGACAAGAGCAAGCGAGAGGGAGACACTAAAGATAATTTCCAGTACAACCCGTTCGCGTTCAGCAACTACAGGTTCGGGTACTACCCACCCCCGCCCTTCTCCAGACCCGAGTATCACAACATCGTGAGCCCGGGGGGTATGGCGCCCCTCCAGCAGCATGTCCTACACCCATCCTCACCCTACGTCATGCCCCACCCCTCTCAGTACCAGCCCCCACCCTACCCGCCCCAGGCAGCCTACTACATCTCTCCCCCTAAATACCTCATCCATTCTCCCAAACAACTCCCCTTTGAGCAGCAGATCGCTTTGCCCCGTGACCCCAAATCCCCCTGGTACCAGAACAGTTTCCTGTACAACAAGCTGCTGCCGGTACCCCACTACGGGAGTCACGTGATGAACCCCTACTATGCCAGCCCAGAAAGCAACTTTGAGGTGGTCAATGTTGACGTCACGCCCACCGAGCTAGACCGGATGAAGGTGTACGACCCCCTACAAGACAAACCCCGTCGGGACGATGACCTTTGGGGCGGGACGGATCTGTTCAGGGCCGGCTATGGGTACAAGATTATTTACCACAAATAATGAAACCTTCGCCTAATTGCGCGAAAATGTCATCAATATTCCTTCACATTTAGTCGCGAATGTTCGTGTTATTTATGTTCATTAGTATTATAAATTTTTCTGCTGTTCATTTAAATTTCATTTTTTAACTTCTCTTTGTTAGGATTTATATTTCAATCATCTTACAGTGGTTTTGGCAATATCTTCTTAGCCTTTCAATGGCTATAAAAGGCAGCTGAAACGACATAAATACAAATAGCATTAGAATTATAAGTTTGTGTATATGTTTAATCTTTTTTTTTACATTATTTTTAAGTAAATCTGATAGATCCCCGAAATATTGACAAATGTTGTCACGATTTTAAAATTTGTTAACTTTGACAGCTGCCTTTGTTGTCTTTAAACAAGACTCAAACATCACAGTCCCAGTTTTAAAATTACCGGTACTTATAATAGTCATTTATCATACAATTTATTTTTGTATTTACTTCTATTTACATATGTTATACAGTTTGTTGGGAATTACTTGGGATGTAGTTCGCCTCGAAGGAAAAAAAAAAGAAAAGCTCTTGCAGGTCAATTTAATTATTTGATCTATCACTGCGTTGTATTACAGTACTTGAAATAAATTTTTCTGGTCTAAATAATGTATTTTAGAGCAAATCAAAATGAGTAGCTACCTGAAAATTGTTCAAAATAAAAGTGTTCTTAGTTTTTAACCTCAGCCTATTTTGTTCAAGACGTGTTCCAGTTTAAACAGACCTAAAGTTTCCTCTTCCATGTTATAGGCAAAAAAATTGTATTAAATATATTAACCAATCATCTGAGTTGTCGTTTTTAAATAAATTAAGACAAGCTTAGTTTTTCTGCAATTAAAATTAATTAATGTCCGTAGTCCCCGTGACACAATTATATGTTTGTATTCCATGTGACACACCATAATGCACTGAATAGTTGCAATAAACATACGCTTCCATCATGAAGCTTTAACAATGGAACACTTACATATTCTATCATGAAGCTTTAACAATGGAACACTTACATATCCCATCATGAAGACATTGCCCCAATTACCCGTGACTGTCTACACAATAAGTTTTTTTCCTACATCACTGCTACATTCAGGCATCTGTCCAGGGACATTGATATAGAAAAATATATTTTAACTAGTGTGTCCCTACCCCCGGAAGTTTCTGGTGCCCCCTCCCCTAGTGTGTATGACTGGGACCAAGGTCATCGTGCACGACAAGAGTTTTCGAAATAGGTCGAAATACTTGGCTCAGAAAATATTTCATGGAAGTTTCTATTTTTTGGCTGGTAGTAGAAGTTAAGTCACAATAAATCAGAAGATATTTCATGGAAGGATGACTTCTGTGCCTGGTAGTAAAAGTTAAGCAAGTCACAATAAATCAGAAGATATTTCATGGAAGAAGGTGTTCTACTAGTTGAACGCAAATGTCAAGCAAGTCGCAATCAATGCGATAGTTCAGAACCTCACGACCATGTAGGAGGCAGGTCAGTGACACTAGTAGGGTAAGACAATAGAGAACCTTGTAGCTCCTTATCCAACTTTGTGTCACACTGAAGAAGTGTGTGTCTTGGTCAGTTGGTCAGATTATCAGCTGTAACACACTTTGATCTGTTGGTCAGCAGTAAAGAATGTGAATATCATTCTTGATCCTTGGATTAAATCACTTTATTGTTGTGAAAATAAAACGGTTATAGGTGTTGTAACAGATTTAGTCCAGCATTTGTGATAATGGATGAGTCTAAAAATCGAGCTGAGGTTTGAGTCACTGACTCTTGTCATGAGTCTAACGACCAAGCTGAGTCATTGACTCGTGTGATGCGTCTGAAGATCGAGATGACTGAGCCATTGACTCGTGTGATGAGTCTAACGACTGAGCCGAGTGTTGAGTCACTGACTCTTGTGATGACCCTCTCAAGAAACAAAGTCAACTACAGTGACCACCAAGATGGCGACATACACAAGGAGCAGAAATGGGGTCAGGAAGTAGATCAATAAACAAACCACACAAACAAACAGTAACTCAGTCACACACATGTTGATAATTTTTTGTTCTTAGGTTTGTATGATGACGTTCAACTATGTGTTGTTGAAGTTCTCTGATTAAGACGGGCTAGGCCGGTACACCACGTCACATTTTATCAAAGCGACATTAACATCCATTATTTGTACTCATTAGGTATTATTTATCAGCTTCACTTATCTCAGCATATTAACTTTGGCACAGACTCGAAGATTCATTATTTGATAATCAATATTTCTGACTCAGTGTCATTTGATCAGGCTAGGTTTGATAACCATAGCAACAGCCAATCATCATAGAGCTAGATTTGGATTTCAATAACCAGATTTCACAGAACCAGATCTTAATAACCAGGTGTATTTAGATCAATGCTGGCAACAGCTCCAAATGAAACCAAAACACCATGACGTAGTAATACACGAATTCGCCCGTTTGTCTCACGAAGGTGTATGTGATGACGTCACTGTGAACAAGCCTCGCGTGTGGTACGTTACCGGCCTTGTCTACGCCAACATGTGGTGTGTCTACCACAACAGCAACAGCCGTGAACCAGTGGTTGGCTTTAGTTAGACTGGAGTGGACGAAAACCTTCATCCTGTGAACACTCAGCCTTGCGAGACAGAAATGTTAGACACGGCTATATTTTCAGCTAAATAAAATCCTTAGATATTTTGTCTCTTGTTTTTTCTACAAAGCATTATTATACGGATTGCATATCTTAAACTTGAATTAGTGGTATTACATCTTGGGCAAGTTAAACTTACTGTTTTGTGATATTTGATTACAGACTTGTTTCATGAAAACGTCTTTTGTTTATAATTTTAAAATCCGTTCAAATCGCGACCGTTATTACGTCATTACATCGATTTTCCCCCGCCATTTCATATGACAGTTTAAACTCTCTTGAGATTACACGTGTTACGTCGAGATCGCGGTCCGATATTTATTTTGATTACACACTTGACAAAAACGTCGTAGAATGCATGCTATTTTATATCAACAGCTATCATTACCGAAATTTAAACATAGATCTTGTTTTATAAATAACAATTCCCCCACAACATTCCATCTAGTTGTAAAATCTAAAATTACATTTTTTTTTCAAAATGGTATTGTTCTTGTCATCTGTAATCTAAAGGTACCATTACCTCTGTTCTATTTTATTTTAAATTACTGCCCTTTACAAACTACGTTCGATAACTCTCACAAATCTGTACTTTAAAAGGGGGAGTTAAATATAAGGTCTATATGATATATATTTTTGTTGAAGAATTGAGTTTTAAGCTTTTGGTTTTTTCTTGCACGAGTTAAGTGGCGTTAGGGTTAGACACTTGTCCAGCAGGCTCAATGTTTGATATTATTTAACGGTAAGCTTTAGTACTGGAGCACATACAGATGAAACAATGGACAGGGATAAGTGATAGCGTAAAGACAGGCAAGCACATAGTGGTACAGATCTTTTTTAAATTCAGCGAGATCTACCGGTTTGTTCCTTGCCTTGTTGAAGTGATTCGCTGAGCCGTTAAACAGATTGCTACACTGTCTCGTTGGAGTGATTCGCTGAGCCGTTAAACAGATTGCTACACTGTCTCGTTGGAGTGATTCGCTGAGCCGTTAAACAGATTGCTACACTGTCTCGTTGGAGTGATTCGCTGAGCCGTTAAACAGATTGCTACACTGTCTCGTTGGAGTGATTCGCTGAGCCGTTAAACAGATTGCTACATTGCCTTGTTGAAGTGATTCGCTGAGCCGTTAAACAGATTGCTACATTGCCTTGTTGAAGTGATTCGCTGAGCCGTTAAACAGATTGCTACATTGCCTTGTTGAAGTGATTCGCTGAGCCGTTAAACAGATTGCTACATTGCCTTGTTGAAGTGATTCGCTGAGCCGTTAAACAGATTGCTACATTGCCTTGTTGAAGTGATTCGCTGAGCCGTTAAACAGATTGCTACACTGTCTCGTTGGAGTGATTCGCTGAGCCGTTAAACAGATTGCTACATTGCCTTGTTGAAGTGATTCGCTGAGCCGTTAAACAGATTGCTACATTGCCTTGTTGAAGTGATTCGCTGAGCCGTTAAACAGATTGCTACACTAACTCGCGTGAATAAAGTACTGAACGGTACAGTGGTCAGATCATAGTCTGTACCTTAAGTGTCCGTGGTAGAGTCCGTTTGATTTACAGCTTACAACCCGACCCGTGTAACATATTCTTGACAACCCGACCCGACCCGACCCGTGTAACCTACTGTTGTAACCTACCACTAACAACCCGACCCGTACAACCTACCACTAACACCCCGACCCGACCCGTGTAACCTACCACTAACAACCAGACCCGTGTAACCCACCACTAACATCCCGACCCGTGTAACCTACCACTAACACCCCGACCCGTGACACCTACCACTAACACCAGGACCCGTGTAACCTACCACTTACACTCCGACCCGTGTAACCTACCACTAACACCCCGACCCGTGTAACCTACCACTAACACCCCGACCCGTGACACCTACCACTAACACCAGGACCCGTGTAACCTACCACTTACACTCCGACCCGTGTAACCTACCACTAAGACCCCGACCCGTGTAACAGAAGGACAGAATTGTTACATGGAAGACTTTAGCAACAACAACGACATGAACACCAACGCCTCAGGGGATGCCTCGTATTACGTCATGAAGGTCATGGAACTGGCCTTGACCAACATCTTGGCACCGGTCATAACCCTGATCGGCGTCTTCTCGAACATTCTCACGGTTTTCGTCTTCATCAAACTCGGGCTCAAAGATGGCGTCACGGTGTCGCTGTGTTTACTCAGCGTGTTTGACTTGATATTTTACCTCTTTAATTTGGTGACACTAATTTTGTTGCTGGTCAAAAAACTGACCGGAAGTTGGTCTGTTGACCCGCTGACCATCGTCCTATTCCTGGTGCCTTACCACCGGATGTTCTACGACCTGGCCAACCTGGTCACGTGCTACATCGCGGTGGCCAGGTGCTGCTGTGTGGTCATGCCGCTCCAGTTTAAATACACCTTCAGTAAATACAAAACATGGGCGGTCATCGGAGTCATCTCCCTTTTTTTCTGCGCCGAGTACTTCCCCTTGTTCGTCACACAAAGGTTAAGCGAGCAATATTACCCGAGTCTAAACCTTACAAAAATTGAGATAGTGTATTCTGCGAACCGCGAAAACCTGGTGAAAATTCTCATGGACATTTTAAACAGAAATGTCCTTCTGGTTCTAACATTTCTAGTTTGTTTCATCTGTCTGTTGATCATAACACACGGGCTACGGAAAGCCTCAATATTTCGAAATTCCGTCAAAACCGGAGCGGAATCAGGTCAGAAAGCCAAGTCCAGCAAACACGTCACTCTGTCAACGTCCGACCTGCAGGTCATCAAGGGCATCGCAGTGGTCCTGCTCGTCTTCATCGCCTGCAACCTGCCGGTCATCGTGACGTCAATGAGCCGCCTGCTGGTGCCGGAGCTAACGGTGGGCAAGCGCTACAACAACATGTACTTCCTAGTGACCAACATCAGCAACTTCATCCTGGCCGTGTCTGGTTCCTGCTACTGGCTCGTCCACTACAGGTTCAACTCGCGCTACAGGCGAACATTGCTGGTCGTGCTAGGCTACAGGAGGGGCACACAGCCGGTGGTGGCATCCACAGATTGATGGATACAGCCGGCTGTAGCATCCACAGACTGATGGATACAGCCGGCGGTGGCATCCACAGACTGATGGATACAGCAGGCTGTAGCATCCACAGACTGATGGATACCGCCGGCTGTAGCATCCACAGACTGATGGATACCGCCGGCTGTAGCATCCACAGACTGATGGATACAGCCGGCTGTAGCATCCACAGACTGATGGATACAGCCGGCTGTGGCATCCACGGATTGATGGATACAGGCTGGAGGCTATCCACTTAGTATTCATTTAAAAACGCAGTATTCTATAACATCCATAGATTTATGGATAAGGACTGGAGACTATCCACTTAGTATCCATTTTAAAACGCAGTATTCTATAACATCCACAAATTAATGGATACGGGCTGGAGACTATCCACTTAGTATCCATTTTATAACGCAGTATTGGTAACACCTATCAGAAAGCTTACACAGTTGTAAGGATGCAGTAAAAAAGTTAAAATAAGTATAAGGACGCAATAACAATGTGTAACATTCGTAATAGGACATTATAACAACGTGCAATATTAGTATACGACACTCTAACAATGTGAAACTTTAGTATTAGGACACTATAACAATTTGTAACATTAGTATAAAGACACTATAACAATGTGAAACATTTGTATATGGACATTATAACAATATGTAACATTACTGTATGGACACCGCTAAAAAGGTAAAGGAATCTGTAACAATAACTTCAACAGAATTATTAGGGCGCTATTATAAAATTATGCATTGTTATGAGGACACTAAAAGTTAGTTTGGCATAAGTCAATTTCTTTAATGACATCTTTTGTTTCGTTTTATTTAGGTTTTTCGTGATTACTGACACAAACATATTTGTTTGTTAAAGGTACATTCACATTCGTGACCCGGTTTCGAACTCAAGTCTTTGGGATCGCAGTCTAGAGCTTTTCTGCTAGACCAGGCCTTCCTATACCAATGGTACAATTGTTATGTAGGAGTAGCAGCATGATAGCTTTAAGTGTTCTGTAAAGCTGTCAAATGCAGTGTAAACGTAATTAAATATTCTATACAAGCATTTGTATTCTGTAGATCTTATTGCGTTTTATGTAAATGCTCTTAAGTTTTATATACATGTCATTAAGTATCCTATAGATTTCATTATATTATGTGTCCTCAAATAAGTATCATGTCCATGTCATTATTTATCATGTCCATGTCATTCCGTATCCTGAACATGTCATTTAGTATTTTGCACTTGTCATTGTATCCTCTCCATGTCAATAAGTATCCTGTCCATGTCATTAAGTATCCTCTACATGTCATTAAGTATCCTGTCCACATCATTAAGTATCCTTTACATGTCATTAAATATCCTCTACTACATATCTTTAAGTATCCTGTCCATGTCACTAAGTGTCCTGTCCATGTCATTAAGTATCCTGTCCATGTCATTAAGTATCCTGTCCATGCCATTGAGTAGCCTGTCCATGTCATTAAGTATCCTCTACATGTCATTAAGTATCCTGTCCATGTCATTGAGTAGCCTGTCCATGTCATTTAGTATCCTCTACATGTCATTAAGTATCATGTCCATGTAATTAAGTATCCTGTCCATGTCATTAAGTATCCTGTCCATGTCATTAAGTATCCTGTCCATGTCATTAAGTATCCTCTACATGTCATTAAGTATCCTGTCCATGTCATTGAGTAGCCTGTCCATGTCATTAAGTATCCTCTACATGTCATTAAGTATCATGTCCATGTCATTAAGTATCCTGTCCATGTCATTAAGCATCCTGTCCATGTCATTAAGTATCCTCTAAATGTCATTATGTATCCTGTCCATGTCATTAAGTATCCTGTCTATGTCATTGAGTATCCTCTACATGTCATTAAGTATCCTCTACATGTCATTAAGTATCCTCTACATGTCATTAAGTATCCTCTACATGTCATTAAGTATCCTGTCCATGTCATTAAGTATCTCTACATGTCATTAAGTATCTCTACATGTCATTAAGTATCCTCTACATGTCACTAAGTATCATGTCCATATCATTAAGTATCCTGTCCATGTCATTAAGTATCCTGTCCATGTCATTAAGTATCCTGTCCATGTCATTAAGTATCCTCTAAATGTCATTATGTATCCTGTCCATGTCATTAAGTATCCTGTCTATGTCATTGAGTATCCTCTACATGTCATTAAGTATCCTCTACATGTCATTAAGTATCCTCTACATGGCATTAAGTATCCTCTACATGTCATTAAGTATCCTGTCCATGTCATTAAGTATCTCTACATGTCATTAAGTATCCTCTACATGTCATTAAGTATCCTCTACATGTCACTAAGTATCATGTCCATGTCATTAAGTATCCTGTCCATGTCATTAAGTATCCTGTCCATGTCATTAAGTATCCTGTCCATGTCATTAAGTATCCTCTAAATGTCATTATGTATCCTGTCCATGTCATTAAGTATCCTGTCTATGTCATTGAGTATCCTCTACATGTCATTAAGTATCCTCTACATGTCATTAAGTATCCTCTACATGTCATTAAGTATCCTCTACATGTCATTAAGTATCCTCTATCATTAAGTATCCTCTACATGTCATTAAGTATCCTCTACATGTCATTAAGTATCCTCTACATGTCATTAAGTATCCTCTATCATTAAGTATCCTCTACATGTCATTAAGTATCCTCTACATGTCATTAAGTATCCTCTACATGTCATTAAGTATCCTCTCCATGTCATTATCCAGCATGTTAGCCCCATTACATCAAGTATTATGTCCATGTCATTAAGTATCCTCTCCATGTCATTAAGTATCCTCTACATGTCATTAACTATCCTGTCCATGTCATTAAGTATCCTCTACATGTCATTAAGTATCCCCTACATGTCACTAAGTATCCTGTCCATGTCATTAAGTATCCTCTCCATGTCATTATCCACCATGTTAGCCCCATTACATCAAGCCTCTGTCTATTATGACAAGGAAACGAAGCGTATGACGTAACCCAATAAAGTTTGCACTTCTATCACCTCAGCCAACATCCAACAAAAATTGCTTGTTGTATCTGTCATCCCACAACAATTTTCTGATCTAACTACGTTTCTTCTAATGAATGTTATCAAGAAAATAATCGCCAAAGGAGAACTCTATCATTCACAGCATTATGTGACGTCTAACTCGCCTGACGCCAATGGGAATTGTACATTTATCTTGACAGAATCGAAGTCAACAATATGGTAAAGTTTACCTTAACAGGCAAAGTAAAATATACAGTAGACCAGGATGGCAAAATATCAGCCATTAATTATCAAACTACAGAATGTAAAGAGCTATAGCACTAGAGGCCTTAGAGTACACAAACAATGTTCTGATTTCAAAATGTGGTGCTACATCCAATAATGACACGGTATTTGACCACATTGTCACATACAGGCCTACAAATTAATTGGTGCCAAAGTACGGTTAATTAGCTTAAAATAAGGTCAAATAAATTAATGTGTACCTGTGAAAATTATACATTAAATAATTTAAAAATATTTTATAGCACAAGCATAACATCATACAAACACAAGGCAAGAAACATCAAAGTCAATATGATAAAATGGAATATTTGATTAAATTTTACAAAGAAAGTCACAAAAAACAGCAGAATTTATGTACGTAATGAGAAACTGGCTCAGGTAAGAGCTGGCAAAAGACCATGAACTACTCTCAAAATGGCATCTACGATCTGTGCTCACCTGCCTGTACATGTGTACATTTGATATAGTGGTAGCAGCTCACCCCTAGTGTCTGACTCAAACATTTTAATATACTCACAAATGTTGCCATATAAAGACACACACACACATTTCTCTAGCAACCGGGTTCAATGATAAGCCACACACCGCTTCCGATATACAATAATTTTACCTCGACTAAGGGAGGTAATTCAATTTATTTTATTCATTGATGTTTTAATTGAGTTATGTTTCTTCTTATGCTTATCTGACCGTGTAACATTAACAACAGCATGGTATGACTATAATATCAAAGGGTTTTGACGGTAACTATTTTATCTGTGAATTTCTCTCACGAGAGCGTGATTGTGGCGATTGTTCAATTGTTCCCCTGCTTGTGGCGATTGTTCTATCGGTCCCCTGCTTGTGGCGATTGTTCTATTGTTCGCCTGTAAGTGGCATTGCTTTGTTGATGTTATATTTAGATCACGGTAATCACTTCACTTTTCGTTTGATGCCCCTGGGGAGCCACACCTCTCCTTCGAACTCCGTTAAGAGCGTCTCAAATAATGCACAGCGCTTACTCTACCCATACAGCTAAGGCTGTTAAAGATCTTTCCTCACCAAGTAGGCTTACTGCGTAATAGACTGGAAAAGTCTATATAGTCATACTAAATTTTTTAAAAATTATTTTAAAAAAAACATGGCAAGCGATAAAATTATAGCTACAGTTTTAAAAATTAAAGTAGATTAGGAACCATCGATTACACTCATTTTTATATTTTTGTGTTGAACATAAGCCGTTGAAAATGATTTTGAATTATTGTATAAATTTAAATATTTAATAAAACCGACCTCAACCCCACCTTGAACTGAACTGAACTGGCCAGGGAGAGTAAAACGATGGAAGTCATAACATCTATTTTCCACGATAAATACTGACAAGATGATCCAAGAAAACAAAATGGCGAACAAGGGAATATTTTCAGTTCGATTCAGGCTTTTAAAATTCGTTTGTATCCCTTTTCATTATAGTTGGCTTATTTTTTTATGACTGTTATGCTCAGATTACTAATATCTAACATTATTCTTATTAATTGTTACCAATGTTTTTGTAGAATGTTTTTAACACACGTTTCATTATTTTTGTTAGGCCTGTGACTACTCACACTACACTCAGACTACACTGAGTGCTCTACTAGTCTAAGCTGAGATCTAGAATCTAGAATCTAGACTCTAGATCTAGAATCTAGATCTCTAGA